TACGTGATGGTGTGTGCTGTCACGGCTGCAGGAGTCTTTACGTGTCGTTTGTTGCTTCAGTTAGCAGTGTGATGTCGGGTGCCAGCCGAGTCCGCGGTGGCCTGGCGCGGCGCCGTCTCCTGCATCCGCCGGCCACCTCCGATCTGCAGCGGACTGCCCCCGCCAGTCACTGCCCATCGATAGTGTATCGGAGCAGCTTCGCCGGTCTGAGCGTCTCGGGTGGCACCTCGACCGCCATTGCCCCGGCAGCGTGATGTCATTACCCGCTAATGAGCTACTCCTGACGTCATTATTTGGGGATAGCGCGACCGAAAGCGGGCGGAAGTATGTAAGGCCTCTTGAAACGCAATACGCCTCCGCCAACCAAGTATATGACTAGCATTCAACTGCTCAAACGAAATAAGGCACCCCCACGTAGTGCAGCGGGAGTAGAAGAATGCAGCTGATGCAAACGTGTAAAAGCCCATAGCGGGGCCATTTTCGGTGAGCCATTTTCACTTGTTCATTGGACCATTTCCCGATTATTGGACGGGACAGGAGGACAAAGTTTCCACAGTGCACAGAGAATAGCATAGACTGTATTAGGCCGCGCTGCAGTGGCTCAATTTGTCCGGTCGCCATAGTACGGGAGTGTCCCGGCGTGCCTGCAGTCGCAGCCGTCTGGGACACCCAACCTCTCAAACGGTCGTCCCGCGGAGGTACATATATCTTCTGTATGCAGCGTGTGTTTGGTGGGACAGCCGTCAACTCGGAGCGGGGGAGTGTGGTAAAGGATGCTGGGGCCGCGGAGGTAGGTATATCTATTATCTTCTGTATGCAGAGTGTGTATGGTGGGGCAGCCGTCAACTCGGAGCGGGGGAGTGTGGTAAAGAATGCTGGGGCCGCGGAGGTAGGTATATCTATTATCTTCTGTATGCAGCGTGTGTATGGCGGGGCAGCCGTCAACTCGGAGCGGGGGAGTGTGATAAAGGAGGCTGGGGCCGCGGAGGTATATCTTCTGTATGCAGCGTGTGTGTGTATGGTGGGGCAACCGTCAACTCGGAGCGGGGGAGTGTGGTAAAGGATGCTGGGAAGGTCAGAGAAGACAGATGCAATGAAATACATGAATTTGTGAATACCGGCAGTCGTGATTTGGACGATACGTTATTCTATCCAAACAGGGATGGGTCAGTCCCAGTGAGTCACTTGTCAGCCCGGTGATTGCGTCTCTTACTGAATATCCCGCCATGATATCCGCCTTTCTAACTTTACTGACGCCGCACTGCAAGCACAGAGAACACCCCAAGACTGTCAGAAAGGCTCGTCCAATCAAGAGTTGCGTTTTATGCTTAAAACGCTGATAGCGTAGTCATGTGTACATTTTCAGTATAAAAACAGACATTTTGTTTACTTTCCATTAATTTACAGTCCGGAAGCGTCGAGTAAATTATCTAGCAATTTATATCATCATGTCGTGTCATCGAGCTCACTGAACACTGCATTTACAGTCTGTCGTTTAGCACAAAAATATGACATACGACAACATTTTAAATAAAATATATCTCGTATTATTGAATGCCACGGCTCGACTTAAATTATTGTGCAATCAAAAACTGACGTTGATAGCCAATAGTCTCTCATTCGGGTAATTATTTCGTGCTCCTGGAGTCTCCAATAAACGACATTTTCTGCGCCTGTACGCTATGATCCCGACGCACTTACCTAAATGCCCACTTGTTTGTGGTTGTCGGGTGAAACGAAAAATAAATAAAATATAACACACAGCTACGAGCTTCCCTAGCTAGCCAAGATACTATTCGTGCATTTCGTTGGAGTTACGCTCGCGATCCAGCCTCAAACGCGACACTGCTCAGTCCAGCTTCGGCTGGCGTACCTACATACTTTGCATAATGCAAAGTAGACATTAGGCCCCGTCATATTTTATAAAGTTTTTGGAAGACCAGCTCCCCTGGTGTTTTCCCATTGCTTGTTGGCCCAATATGAAGTGTGCAAAATTTCAGCTTCCTAGCTCAACGTTTGCATCTGCCTCAACGGCCTCAAAGTTTGCCTCGTAGGGCATAATGGAGACTGCAATGCCGGTGTTAGCTGCATTCTCCCGGCAGCGGCGTTCCTTGGCACAATATCGCCACGGATCAACTGCTGCCCCAGCAAGAGATGAACAAAACTAATCTTTGCCTTCGCCCCCCCCCCACACACACACGCCCCTCCCCCTCCTCATCCCCCCGCCCCGATTTTTTGTGCATCGTTTGATTTTCACGCATTGTTCACGATCATTTTCTGTTTTTTTCATAATGCCTAAATGCTGATTGAGACAAATATCACGTCGGTTTAAGATAGTAGGTCTATCTTAAACATGCATGTGCGTATATTGATATCGACTCAATACTGCGGCGGCGGCAATCTGATAACTACGAACGACAGCAGCAGCCAGAGACCAAGACGGCGGGCACGGCACTGGTGACGGTGACGGGCACTGGTGTCACTTACTATGGTCCAGCCTGTGTGTCCGGTGTCGTGGCCTACCTACAGCAAGAAGGTTTTCTTGCGCGGCTTTTTGGAAAACTCCTGCAGTGCGGTCTGGGAGTGAACTCCACAGTTTTCAAAATTTAAGTCATTTATTTCCATGCAGCTACGTTATATGAAGGCGCCTTCATGGCCCAAAGGGGGCGCCCCAAGTTTAAAGGTACAGGACAATGGACTTGAATTGAATGCCCGCGTATGCTGGATACGGCTCTGCTCTGGAGGCTGAGGGGCGCCAGGTTTTTTCTTCAATCGGGCGCCAAATCACCTGTGATCTTCATGGGGCGCCTGTTAAGCTTTGCAGATGCGTCCGTGGTGTTGACAAGTGTGCCGAGTGCCCTGCCCCCCGGAATGGGCGTCATCGTTCAGAGGGGCGCCGGATGTTCTTGAGGGGGTGACAATGATATTAAAATGGGGGCGCAAGATGTTCTGGAGGGGCGCCAGTGATATCTACTGGTGCGGCGGATGCTCTGAGAGGGACGCTAGCGATAATGAATGGGGCGCCCACTCGCCCTTGAATTTCAATGGGGTGTCTGATACGTTTTAGAGACATGTCGGTGGTGTTGAATGGCGTACCGAGTGATCAAGAGCGGGCAACATTTTTTTCGGAAGGGGCACGTCATATAGGTACTCTGAATGATGCGAGCATAATACTGACAGGGGCGATGTCGGGATCTGAAAGGGCACCACAGGGATTCATGTTATTAAGTATGCAATCCACTACCATGTTGCTTGCGTCAGAGGTTTGTGTTGGGCGCAGGTGCACGGGTCGTGGGTATTGATAGTGCTAAAGCGCGCCTTACATATAGCGTTATCAGGGCGCTCGGCACACTAGCCAATACCACGGACGAATCTGCAAAGCGTAAAAAGCGCCCCTTTGAAGATCACAGGCGATTGGGCGTCCTATCGAGAAAAAAAAACATGACGCCCCTCACCCTCCAGAGCAGAGCCGTATTCAGCATTCGCGGGCATTCAGGTCAAGCCCATTGTCCTGTACCTTTAAATTTGCCCCCCCCCCCCTTTGGACGTTAAAGGCGCCCTCATATTATGTGGTTGCATGGAAAGAAATGACTTGAGTTTTGAATAGTGCGGAGTTCACTCCTAGACCGCACTGCAGGAGTTTTCCAAAAAGCCGCGCAAGAAAACCTTCTTGCTGTAGGTAGGCCACGACACCGGACACACAGGCTGGACCATAGTAAGTGACACCGGTGCCCGTCACCGTCACCAGTGCCGTGCCCGCCGTCTTGGTCTCTGGCTGCTGCTGTCGTTCGTAATTATCAGTTTGCCGTCGCCGCAGTATTGAGTCGATATTGATATACGCACATGCATGTTTAAGATAGGTACTATCTTAAACCGACGTGATATTTGTCTCAATCAGCATTTATGCATTATGAAAAAAAAAAACAAAGTGATCGTGAACAATGTGTGAAAATCAAACGATGCACAAAAAAATCGGGGCGGGGGGGGGGGTAAGGAGGGGGAGGGGTGTGTGGGGGGGGGGGCGAAGGCAAACATTAGTTTTGTTCATCTCTTGCTTGGGCAGCAGTTGATCCGTGGCGATATTGTGCCAAGGAACGCCGCTGCCGGGAGAATGCAGCTAACACCGGCATTGCAGTCTCCATTATGCCCTATGAGCCAAACTTCGAGGCTGTTGAGGCAGATGCAAACGTTGAGCTAGGAAGCTGAAATTTTGCACACTTCTTGTTGGGCCAACAAGCAATGGGAAAACACCAGGGGAGCTGGTCTTCCAAAAACTTTATAAAATATGACGGGGCCTAGTAGACATATGTGTGTGGTCGAGCGAGCTGCCTATGTTGTTAATCATTCATGGAGGCGGTTCTATGACTGGATCGCGAGATCCACCAAATATGGGATTTTACGTCTTGTGTCAGCTCATCCTGAGAGGTCACTGACCTGGCGGCGATGGGTCAGTGATATCGAATGGTCACTGGGTTCAGCATTACAGAGTGACCGATTTAGTGACCAGTTTGATGTTCTCAGTGCCTGTATGCCCGCCAAACAGACGGTCACAAAATAATCCACTATGTTTGGCAGTGGACCACGGCCAAACATAGTGAGAGTGACCCACTGTCTGCTGGGTCATCTAAGTAGCCGACTCAGTCAATAGGTCATCCTACACATGGCCATTGAGTCACTGGGCTGGTCACTGGGTCATTTATATGACCCAGTCAACATGTCACCCTACACAGGGTCACTATGTCCCTGGGCCGGTCACTGGGTCATTCAACCGACTCAGGTCAGATGGTCTTTGAGTCGACCACGAATCACTAACCACAACTCACGGCACGGCTCACGCCAGCCCGCTATTTTAGCACCATGGAGTCGCAACTAGGTTTACAGGTCATCGGCCTGGCGAACTCGTCACCTGACGTCGCGGCGTCCCTAGCGCTCTCCTGGCCACGGAGCCGCTACTACCGCTGTGTGTACCGTTGGATGCTGACCAAACCCTCCGCCCACAGCGCGTGTGGCGGTCAGCGGCGGTCAGCGCGGCGGCCGCGGCCGGCAGATGCGCAGCGCCGGCCCGGCGGACGGCGGCTCAGAGCTGCGGCGCTGCGGTGGGGATGCGCGCGCCAGGTGGTGAACTGCAGAGTGACGGAGCGCGAGGAGAGGGGGCGAGGCTGCTGCAGCGGTAGCTGAACGGAGTCAGTTGGCCCCACGTGGTCAGAGTGTGAGGTGGAAGCTCGGAGAGGGTGGATCTCAGCGGACCTGCTGCTGGTAAATCGGAGACAAGTTGAAGCTCAAGTGTTCTCGGATTCCTGAAACATCAACAACCCTTGCACTGAGACCTCTAAAGCGAACTCCTGTTGTGGCGCCGGGTACCTGTAATATTCGGCTGGAACTACCAGAGAGACCGCCACAAAATCCGGCCAGCATGCGGCGCGTGCTGGTGCTGTTGTCCCTGCTGCTGACGTCCAGTTGTCTGCCAGCCGATCCACTGACGTCAGAAGGCTCCGGTCATGACGTCACGCTGGGTGAGGTCGACGTGTTGTCTCCGGAGCCGGATGACGTGGAAGAAGCCGGGGAGAGGGACGAGCTGCTGACCTCGCTGGCAGACCTACTGGAGAGGATGCAGACGCTGAGGCCCAAGTCTCCTGGTGAGCTGAAACCAGGCCCGGGTCTGGATCCAGAACTGGGGCCTGGATCGGAGTCGCAGCCGGAGTCGGGAGCAGGGATTGGGACGGGACAGGAGCGGGAGGCTGAGCCCAAGCAGGAGCTGAAAACGGAACCGGAAAATGTCGCATCAGATGAAGCAGATGAAGACGCGGAACAGGAAGAGAGCCAAGCAGATCCGGACACCAACGAGTCGGAAGAGGTCCCGACTCAGAGTGAAGAGCAGGAACAGCCAGGGACTGAGAGGCCTGACATAGAAACCACCACAGTGTTAACCGTACAGCTGCTGGACGTGCCAGTGGAATCAGAACCAGGAGTACCAGCGGCTGTGGACTCGGAACCCGCGGAACCGCAGTCCGAGGAGCCCGAGCCCGCGCAGCTGGAGACGGTCACGCCGGAGAAAGAATCTGCCCAGCCCGTGGTGCCTCAGCCCGACGTGTCCGAAGACGAGGTGCCCACAATTCGCGAGCCGGAGTCGATCGACGAGTCTCCGGAGTCGATCGACGAGTCTCCGGAGGAGATCGACGAGTCTCCGGAGTCGATCGAAGAGTCTCTGGAGTCGATCGGCGAGTCTCCGGAGTCGATCGACGAGTCTCCGGAGGAGATCGACGTGCCGCTGGGGCAGAACGAGGTGCCCCTGCCGTCTCCGGCCAGAACTCCCGTCCAGGAGCCGCTCATCATCGCTGAGGTATGGGCAGCTAATGCCATAATCTCGTATTTAGAGGCCTCCTATACACCGGACCAGGTAAACAGGACAGACTTGCAAAGATGATTGATTGTGCCTTTCGCCTATTTTTTCCTTTTTTGACGATTTTTGTGATAAACGGTCAGTCAACTTTTCAATAACATGACATCTAGAACATCTTCATTTAGGTAGCATGTCACACGAACACACGTTATTGTTCCCTTATTTTTTGCCCCTCATTACCTACTTTTAGGATTATATCGGTACTGCGTTTCAAGCTGATAGCAATGCGCGCGCCTGAGAGACAAACTGTACCGCAATACATGCGCCGTAAAATAGGCTGTGCCGCACTACACTAACTGAAATGTTGAAGATACGCAAAAGACGTCGTCACGGTCAAAGTCGATGTAGATTATAATTGAGGTGGAAGGTAGGTGGGTATCAGTAGCGGCGGAACGCCTTCAATTAAAGGGGGGCTGCCGACTTTTGGTCCCATTCTTCCCATGCAACGCCCATAGGGCTAATGTTAAAATGCCAAAATCAAAGGGGGGCACGCTGCCCCGGTGCCCCCCCCCCCCGCCCCCGTTTCGCCGCCGGCGCCTATGGTACTATGGTAGGAATATACCATATAAAGAATGTTTGATAGTGAGGCATATGATTAAAGGGCGCCTCAATAAAAAAGTGAAGCTTTTATTTCTAAGCTTTAAGTGTCGTTAACTTGATTATCAAATAGGTATTTAGAGAATTATCATTAAGTATTAACCTTCAATGTACTTTTTAACTTTGAATCGCCGTAAACCTCACATTTTCGATAGGTACAGCTCAGGCCTCAGAGTATTGTTGCTTTACCATGCCGTCACGTCGCCGCTGTGTTTCGCCGGTTTTCTCAGACGGCGGCGTGCGTGGGCTGCGTGACGCCGATCCTGCAAGATGGCGCCGACCTGCGCCGGGTCTCCAATATGGCCGCCAAACTGCTCGAGGAGGAGCTCGACTCGCAGCACACCTTCCGCGTTATGGAGGTGTACCGCGCCAGCAAACAGGTACGGACGGTGCTCACACGAGTGGCCGCTATCGTAAGTGGTGGCCTGAACAGCGGGACGGCTGAGGCTCGTTCGACATCAGAGTTTAGATTTGCCTACGTTTGCCGAAACATTTGGATAGTTCACTCAAATCCAAACGGACCGACGTTGACCGCACCATCCCGTCCGCAGGTTGTGAACGGTATCAAGTACTTCCTCACACTGGAGGTGGCACCGACCTCGTGCGAGCGGCCGCTGACGCCATTCACGCTGTGCTTCGTCGCGAGCGACGCCGAGAGGCTGCTGTACGCCGTCGAGCTGCTGCATCAGCCGCACCGGGCCAACACGGAGCTGCTGCACCTGAGAAAGGTGAGCTGTCCGCCGCGACTCAGCTTCAGACGACCGGAGTCCGGAGGAGACGGTGCACTGTTCTTTTGTCATATTTTAGCATGATGACGGCGCAATTGACACTTCGCTGTCTAATACCTAGCAGGAATGTGCCGGAACACTTTCTAACCGTGATCTAAATGGCTCAAAACCATGCCACCAATATCCTGCAGATGATAAACATCCTAACCACGACGTAGATGAATCAGTCTCAGTTACAGCGAGTATCGGATATTTGCTAAACAAACGTCCTGGCCGACTGCCGATCGGCTATGTCGGTATGCCGTTTGATTTGACGTCCCGAGCGCTGGGCCTGATCGGCGCGCCACGGCGCAGTGAGTTGGGTTGGAAGCGTATTGGAAGGCGCCCGACATTCCGCGGCCGGTTCTGACTGATGAGTAAATACTCGTAGTGGTTTGCCCCAAATATGCAGCTAACTGCAAATGCAGATGTGTTCGAAAACTTTTTAAATACTAATACAGATTCTTAAACATATTGTTTCCTCCGACATTCACTCACTTCGTTCTGGTTGAATAATTGGACGTTTCGGTGTCTGATGCGGCTGCCGCTTGCCTGCACTCGCTGACCATCGTTGTGCATGGTTCACTGACCGTCACCGGTAGCATCAGCTCACTGACACTGACCAATGGTCACTGACACTGACCAATGGTCACTGACACTGACCAATTGTCGCTGACAGCTGAGGCCGCTAACTGCTGATCGCTAACCACTGACTATTGACAATCAACCACTGGTCCGTAACCCTGGGAAGGGGACCTTAGTCCTGTAGCTGTAACTTTGATGGAATATTAGTATCTCTGCGCTGACCACTCCCTGTCCTGCCACGGCAGCTGGATCGCTCTGAGATCGCCGGCTTCGGCGGCCTGTTCGCGGCCGCCACCGCCGAGCCGGCCACCGAGGCGACACCTCACAGAAAGGCCGCCCCGATCGCGCCCGGCGACAGCCTGCTCGACATTCTGATGGGCCTCGACTCGGTCATCAGCAAACAGCGAGAGCGGGAGGAGGCCGAGGGGGCCGCCGAGCCGGCGCCGCCCGCGCCTCCGGCCGACCGGCAGGGGCCGCCGCCGCTGCAGATGGACCCGCCCGGGCCGCCGGCCGCGCGGCCCGGCCCTCCGCCTCTGCTGCAGGCGGCGCGACCCGACCCTCCGCCTCTGCAGGCGGACCCGGCCCTGCAGACGGAGCCCGCCCTGTCTGCCGACTGGCAGGCGGAGATACAGCAGCGTCACAGCGCCAGCCAGCAGTCGCTGAGGGTGCAGGCGCTGCTGCGCGAGGCGGGCTGGCCGGGCGTCGGAGTGGCGCCCCGCCGCCGAACGCGGCCGGACAGCGGCCACACACAGGAGGAGGGAGAGGAGACGCGCTGCCGGGAGGGGCGGCAGTACAGCACGCCTCATGGTAAGTCATAGTAGGAACGCACGAAATGACATCGACATTCATAAGACATTCACCAGTTGTAGTCTAGCTACTAGTGGTACGTCAATAACTGTCTAAACAAGTCTGCGAGCAGCGCAACATCCTGTCCTGTCCATGGGTTAGGGTATAGCCAAACACAAGTGTAGCCGAATCACCAGCACACCATTCTGTTTTCAGTGCCGCTGAACGTGGCCCATCCGCGCGTTCAGAAGATCCTGCACAAGTTTCTGGAGCGGCAGGAGAGTGTTGGTTCTAACCGTCTGGTCATAACGGACATTCAGTCGGCCACGCAGCAGGTACAGTACAGTATGTACAGTACCCTATTAACCCCACATATCAAACATAAATACCTGGGTGGTTCCGCCCGTGAAGTAAAACATCCACCGGCTGTTGATCAGCCACACATGAGAGGAGCGGTATATACTAACCCGATTGACCTGGGAGCGGCTCCCGTCCATTTTCACGGTCATTTTAATTTCAGTACATTCACTTGTCACTACGCTTGTTCCACTACCCACATAACACTCGGACAAATGAACATCAATTATTTTTAAATAAACAATCAAAGTAAGAAACCGGAACGTTCGTCTTTCAATAACAATAAAGCATTCGTGTATAATAACTACTCACCATCAACGCTTTGCATTAACTACACTCTTTTTGCAGACAATCTCGGAGACCAACTACCGGTTCGACTTTGTGCTGGGCGTATCGGAGTGTCCGACCAACAGCACCGCTCACCGGTACTCCTGCTCTGCCACCAGCGCTCACCCTCTCTCCAACTGCCGGGTAAGTTACCACCAGCGCCCACCCTCTCTCCAACTGCCGGGTAAGTTACCATCGGCGCCCACCCTCTGTCCAACTGCCGGGTAATTTACCACCCTCTCGCCAACTGCCGGGTAATTGACCTTTAGCGCCCACCCTCTGTCCAACTGCCGGGTAATTTACCACCGGCGCCCACCCTCTGTTCAACTGCCGGGTAATTTACCTCCATGGCCCACCAACTGCCGGGAAATTTACCTCCAGCGCCCACCAACTGCCGGGTAATTTACAACCGGCGCCCACCAAGTGCCGGGTAATTTACAACCGGCGCCCACCAACTGCCGGGTAATTTACAGCCAGCGCCCACCAACTGCCGGGTATTTACCTCCAGCGCCCACCAACTGCCGGGTAATTTACCTCCAGCGCCCACCAACTGCCGGGTAACAACTGCCAACTGCCGGGTGATGTATTGTGAACGTTTTTTTCTATGCACTGTCAACATTAAAAGTCCTCAAGATCTTACTGTCAGGCAATGAAACCAGTTTCTCGTAAACTGCCGGATAATAAAGGCTAATGATAATAAAGGATATAAAATAATAAAGGATAATAATTAATACCTGTCTATAAGCACCGGGAGAAATGACCGAGCTATTGTTCCGTTGCTGCCTAATCTAACTAGTGACACTGACTATTGTGTGGATTTCACAGGTGCGCGCCCGTCACCGTCCCGGGAAGCCACTGCAGTTCAACACGGTCAGCTGTACGACCGCCATGACCCCGCAGTGTGCCAACGGGCACTGCCAGGTCACCGAGATCCACCCCTATGCTCCGCTCTACGTGCGGCCGCCGCAAGGTGCGACACCCATGCTTGGGTTGGGGGAGGGTCATTCGGAAATGGTTATCATGGGATGGATGGGGCTTCTGACATCCAAATATAGCCTGGAAATGGGCGATTGTGGAGGTCTTGCGCAGCTGCTTTGCTTGTATGCATTGGAGAACGTCTTTTTAGATCACGTAACGAATCTGTTCTGCGGTCAGATGCTCTTGTGTAATTCTGTGTTCATGAGTGAGTCCAATTTCTTACCTTTTCAGCTACCGTTGAGGTTGATATTCACGATCCGACGTATCAGCAGCTTGTGCAGCATGTTCAGAGTGAGGTGAACAGAAGGTCACGCAGACCGCTCCTCAAGAAGTTTGTCAAGACTCTGAACGCTACGAAAGTCTCGGTGAGCTCTGGATTTCGAATATCACTCGCCATTAGATGTGAATGTGAACACTTTACTAATGAACAGATGATTTGAAGAGGTCGTTTCGAGTTGGAGCATTTATGGCCAGTCGACAGTTAAGTCCTCCGAGCTATAAGGTAGCTGCCTGGTATCTGACAGATAAGTCAATAGACGTTCAGTAGTGCTATTAGCCAAAACTGCTTGGTGCCCAACTACGTTTTACCTTCCCGGTCACCATCTCTCTAATACGCTCACCATCCCCTCTCCTCCCGCAGTACAACCTGGAGGAATCGTCTGAGATCATTGACCAGGAGCTGTACTCCCTCACTCTGCGGTTTGCCGAGACGGGCTGCGCGCGCACTGACGACCCAGACCTGCGGGAGAGCTGCCTGCAGGGGTGGCAGCCGGCGGCGGGCGCCGCCTCCTCCTCCGGCGGTCACCCGAGCTCGGTGTGTGACGTGCGGGTCTCCAGCCTGGGCTGGGCAGACCGGATGCGGGTGCTGGACCTGTTCTGTGAGACCGAGCTGGCCCCCGAGGCCGCCTGAGGTGGCGGTGGCGCCGGGACGTTGTGGACGGTGGTTGGTAGGACTCTGTGCGGCTTGATGAGAGATGAGAGTGACAGCGAGCGACTGTCAGACAATGAACAAATGGAGAGTGTATCAGAGAACTCTGGGAGATGGGAGTCGTCCGTGGGTGAGGGTTTGTGGCATTTGTGAACAGTGAACAATGTCATGTCTGGTGGCTGAGTAAGCACCAACAGCGGGGGAGCGGTGACGTGGAACTTGAGAATGGTCCAAGAACGGCTGGGGAGCACTGGTGAATCAAAGTGACAGAGAGACTAGCCGGAAGTGACCAGAAGACAATTGAAAGTGACCGGAAGTCACCCAGCAGCTGCGATCTGGAGACAAATGATCGCCCGAACTGTAGAAGGCGTCGGGCACGGGTTTAGCGGCCGGCCGGTACAACTACATACATTGGTCGGGAATGTACTGACTGATGACCAGTGTACTGCTATCTGATGCCCTCTACCCGAGAGACAGCTAAAACCCGGACCCATGATAACTCAGCAGTCAGCATGCACCAGGTAGTGCAGAGGTAATACATCATATGTGGACGTTACCAAATAGAGGTAAAGCTACAGAGGTTTTACATTGTGCCGCGACATGTCCCTGATATGCTATAGGTACTACTGTTTTGCCTGGCAATGGACTTGGTAGAGTTACAATAACAGAAAAGTGAGTGTTTAGCTGGCGAGCTGTGTTTGTGCTCGTAAATGTTTGACTAATTCCACCGTAACACTGTACAAATACGCAGATGTGAATGATGGCATTTTGCATGGCATTTTAGTAAATAAGCCTGCCGCTCGTCCGTTGCAGTAACCGCATGTAAGCTCTTTAGGTTATATAGTTTTATATAAGCACAGTTGTGTCCTACTTTGAGATCAGGTATACATAGTAATAAATGAATAGATTTGTTTTTCCAATTTATGTATTAAGATATAGTTCGTTTGTATGATTATCCAGTGCAGGGTTAGTTATCATATTATTTTTCACAGAACGACAGACACTCTCAGGCTGTGCCCAAACCCTCAGATTGCTCTGAACTGGATGGGGCCGCAGGATTTGGACGTGACGCGCCGAGTGTTGGTCCAAGACTGGTCGAAGACGATCACGTTGCATTCCTGCGGACAGGGCCAGCGAACCATCAAACCGATGAATATAAAAGGATGACATCCTGTCACAAAATAAGTACGATATTTGTAGAACTTAAAGTAGTCTTCTTTGGGTTGGTTTCCTATGGTTAATTATCCCAGTATTCAGCAAGTAACTACTATATAGTATAATGCTTCCGGGGAAGCGAAATTTATGTCGCATTTATGCCGTATTACTGACAATGTCATAAGGGAAGTAAAATTTAAAGTGACTACAATTGAACAATTTATCCAAACCAATACCTACAATAAGCTTGGTCCACCCACGGCATTGAAAAGTGCATGGCCGTCAAACAAAAATAAAAAGTAGCGTAAAATGACAGGGCATACTGACAGTCGTGCGCTGGACGGTGACATTCACGACATTTTTGACTGATAGTCAGCCTGATGCAATTCACATTTACCGCGCAGTCACCCTGAAGGGACCAAAAACATTGCATCAGCCTTGGCATCAGCGCTGTTGAGGCCCAATCCTATGGAAGGGGTACATGGGCTGATAAAATTCAAAGTTCTTTCATCAAAGGAAAATGAATAAACATTCATATAACTAGCAACTCACCACGGAGGCCTTCATAGGCCACAGCAGTTTGGCCAGCGTCAGAGTAAGTCGGTAATTTGTTCCGGCGACGACCTGAAAAGTGAACAAGAAACTTCTCTCTAGTCGGTGCCTTTGTAGGTGCTTTGACGGGTTCACAAACGTGCCCACCTATTTCGTTCGCTGCCCTGTCCAATCGTAACAAAGAGAGGCGGGGAAGGGCATTTTACGTTATCCCTCTAACTCGAACACTGCATTCTTAGCACCCCTCATACAGTTTTACAGAGATGCAAAAGCGGTCCGAAAAGCTGGGCGCAATATATCATCGCCCCACTCACCTGAGTCTCAGCCTTGTCGACCGTCTCCAGTAAGAAGTACCCGTGGTGCGCGATTTCACTCTGCAGGTGCGGCTCAGCAAACCGAGCCATTTCTTGGACGTCGTCTCGGTCCACGGGGACTGAGATGTAGCCACCGGGCACTGGTGGGTCATTGGTGTGCACCCACGCCGCCTGCAACAGCCGCCGGTAGCCGGTAGGGGCCGGGCAGACAGCGAGTCGGGACAGGGCGGGCAACCGTTCGCCACAGGCAGAGTCGAGACGGGCGGCCATTAGATGGATACGACTTGACAGAGAGCCATTATATAGCGAGTCAAGACGGGCAGCAACTATACAGCGAGTTGAGACAGACGGGCATTTGGCGGCGAGTCGAGACAAGACAAACGGCCATTATATAGAGTCGAGACAGACGGACATAACAATACATAACCCAACATTAGCTAGAGTCGAGATAGACGGTCATTAGACAGAGTCGAGATAGACGGCCATATTTAGATAGAGAGTCGATACAGACGGCCATTAGATAGAGAGTCGATACAGACGGCCATTAGAAAGTCGAGACAGACGGCCATTAGATAGAGAGTCGATACAGACGGCCATTAGATAGAGAGTCGATACAGACGGCCATTAGATCTAGAGTCGAGATAGACGGCCATTAGATAGAGTCGAGATAGACGGCCATTGGATAGAGTCGATACAGACGGCAATTAGAGAGTCGAGATTAGACGGTCATTAGACAGAGTCGAGATAGACGGCCATTAATTAGAGTAGAGACAGACGGCCATTAGAAAGTCGAGACAGACGGCCGTTAGGTAGAGAGTCAAGACAGACGGCCATTAGATCTAGACAGCAAAGTTGACTAGTTGACACAGAGTCACGGAGTGGTAACAGACACTGCAGCAGTCGATATCACAGGTGCCTGGCATCTAATTATCTTTTCATACACGTTAACTATATGCATTTTACCTACGTGCTTGTCAGCTTACCTGAAGAACAATCGTCAATATCAAAAGCTTCATTTTAAAGACCCTGTGAAACGCAAAACACGTTAAACTTGCTAAACATTCTGAAATGATACACCTACCCAAGCAACATAAAAATGTTAGTACACTTATGAGTTTCTAGTTTCTACGATGTGGTATGAGGTGGATCTCGACACATTTTTTGTCGTTGCTATGATAAGACCCGTAAATTATTGCCATGACAATGTTTTGAGCAAATACCTATTCGAGCCCTTGTGTTATTTTCCCCAGACACATTATCTTGCATTACAAACCGTGGAGTCAACCTACCACCAAGCTTGCATAAAAGTCTCACCCGATAGGTACGGGAGCGTGCTCCTTCCTCTCTCGACAACAAGGGTCGGGATAACTGCGACGAAAAGACATTTCACACGATAAATATCGGTGGCGAAGGGTCGACTGCTGTCATGGACTGACACGGTTGGCAGCTGTTTGACATTTAGAGTTTTTCAAAGCATCGGAGCCTCACTTCACTTACCTACTTCTCACCTCACGTTTGCCTGTAATGTGCCAGCTATCCGCCATGTCAGAGCGATCGGTGGATATGAAATATATAGGCATGCAAAAGAGCCTGGTTGAAGTGGTCTTCAACGGCATTCATCAATAGGAGTACCTATTGTCAGACTCAGGCACCAGTTTACTCCTGAGTCATTCCCGTGTCTGCCACCGATTGGCCACCACTTACACGAGAAACGAGCAGGTGTCGATTCACTGCGCAGTCACACACACCGGGTTCTCAAGGGACCGAGCCGAGCGTCCCAGCTACGTGCAGATGACCGGTGACGCAGGAGTTCGGTGCCACCTGCAGTCGTCGCGAACTTTCCTAGGGAGTGCACTGGTTCCCAAGGAGACAAGCACAGCTGTCTTTAAAATGGCGTCGTCTGTGGAGACTCGCTTGCGTAACTCCTTTAGCCATTGGGCGAGGGTATCGACTATCGAGATCGACGGCACAATAGCTTCTGCGCATAAGACGACCTCTCATTGGAAGAATTGAAAAACACAGATGGAACCTTAGTTTGCATAAACTGGGCTATTGGTTGACAGTTCATGTTTGGACGGTAAAAGCGATGGTGGATGGTTCACCTAAGCGCACTACGCACTACCAATCAAGCCAGTCCGGTTATCAAATTACCATGTCCAGAGTCGATGTCCCGTCGCACATTGATCCTTGCAAACGAACGAGGAACCTTATCATACCGTACGGTCCAAGAAATACTGGCGAAGAAAGTAAATATATGTATTTCCCTGATCAAAAAGGCATTAAAATCCAGGGTTACAATCCTCGATCTTACCAGTTAAACGCAAAAATGCTACATGCAGTAATACTTAAGTAATTGCCCAATGGAAAACAGATGTCAACCTTGAATTTACATTTTACAATCAGTGAAACGACATGGTTCACGGAAATGTACTGAAATATTATGTAGCTTGTTAAGTAGAACGTAAGTAGCACGAGAAACTAACTTCTTGTTGACAACGAAAACAACAAACCAGGCCATTTTGGGAGCACCACGTTGTGACGTATAAATACAGGTATTCAAAGACTAGACTCTCTGCTTGCAAGACCTGCTACTTGCTCTATATGAAAACCAGTTCACGCGACTTTGCGCTTAGTTCAATGCACACCGTATATAATGGAAGGTACAAATACGAAAGTCATGATGCAGAATACGGCCCATACGTTAGAAGGCAGTCGGTTGGCTCGCGTGTTTCGCCCGCACCGGCAGATGGCAGCACCGAGCAGCCGATCCGACCGTGCTCCCAGCTGAATGGAGCCTGGGACGGCCGAGCAGACCGGGCCGGAGCGGGACAATGCCAGCGGGACCCGTCTGCCGGCACCCGTCTTCAGCAGTCACTAGTACTGGACCTCGCCACACGACTTGGAGGTGACCTCCCGCTTCCCGGTCCACGGCTGGTCGTACACAACCACCGTGCATTGCTGGAACGGAACGATTCGTAGTTAAATACCTCGCTATGTATCTGTAGTTAAAACATGACTAGGCATTGCTGTAACGGACCAACACGTAGTCATGGCCCACAGCTGTGGACGCAGCACACAGGAAAACATGCTTTATCGATGGTCAACTTCAATCAGGGGGATGTCGTCCCGGTTCTCCCCATGTGTTATTCGCCAATCAGCTTAACACTACCAGTGACGTCACTGGTGGATCACCAATCGGGGCCGGCGGCCGGCCGGGCCCGTAGGAGGCCAAACGCAGACGTTTTCAGAAAAGCGTAAGCCGTATAGATACAGTCGTGGATGGAGTTTTGCTGGGATTCGGCTCTCCAAGAGTGGGTCAGCGGACTAGGACCAGGATAAAGGTCATAGTGAACCGGCATCTGATAAAATCCGCTCACGGCTTAGCAGCCGGCCGACTTCGACCCTTCGCCCTCGTAAAATACAAAAGCTTGCCGGTTATCAATCCACCTGCATCTCCTCATCTGCTTACTGCCTATATCGACCACTTACTGCAGCCGTTTTGGAGCGGCTCACGGCCGATAACACACCGGGCGTGCGCTAGCCGCCGGTGCTAAGCGCTAACCATTGAGTGCGCGTGGCCGACTGATGGCGCTGGCCCCCGGCACCGACACCGGCGCGCCGCGGCGCCGTGGGGGGGGGGGGGGATTGCTAGAGCCGGAATTGGGATAGAAGCGGGTATGGGATTGGGATGGAAACTCAGCGAGACTAAGGGATTGTGTTGTGCCTTCGGTAGGCCCCCAAAAATCTCCGGTGTAGTGCCCTCAGGGCCGCCAGTTATGAAGCCTTTGGAGGCACTGGTGTGGGCCCTCAGAGGCATTGGTGCGGGGTCCCGGAGGTGCCGCTGTGGGCCCTCTGAGGTGCTAGTGTGTGGCCCTCAGAGGCGCCGGTGAGGGTCCTCACAGTTGCCATTGTGGGCCCTCAGAGACACTGCAGTGTGGGGTCATCACAGTTGGGTGTGGGACCCTTAGAGCTGCTGGCTCGAACCCTTTATAAGCCGACAGGGGCTCTCAGAGACCGACAAAGGGCCCTTAAGAGGTCTACGGTATCTTCAGGAGCCCTGTGGAGTCATCAGAGACCAGCAAGGTACTCTCAGACGCCGGTGAGGGCCCTCAGAGTCGTCGGTGCGGGGCCCTCAAAAGTCACCGGTGAGTGGCCGTCCGATGCGAAGGTCCCGTCTTAGGCCGTCAGAGGCTCCGGCGTTGAGCCCTCAGAGCAGCCGATATATGGCCTTAAGAAGCACTGGTTTGGGCCTTTGGAACTTCATTCAGGGGTGTCGGTTGAACTCAGAGGTGGCAGTGTGGGGCCCTCAGCTGGGCATCGCTTTGGGGCTTTCACAGCCGCCGGTGAGGGCCCTCGCAGGCGCCATTGTGGGGGCCTTCAACCATTGGTTTAGGGGGTCATCACAGGCGTGTGTGGAACCCTTAGAGCTGCTGGTCCCTGATAGGCCGGTAAGGGCCCTCAGAGGCCGGCAAGTAGCCCTCAGAGGTCGCCAATGGGCCCTGAGAGGCCGGCAAGGGGCCCTCAAATGCAGACAAGGAACAATAAAAAGCCGGTGTGTGGCTCTTATGGAGAGAAGTGTGGCTATTGTGTGGCTATTCGGAGCACAAGGTGTTCCTTCCAGCCCTGTGGGGCCCTTCTGAGTCGAAAATGCCAGCGTGGACCCTCAGCCGCCAATTGGCGTCGCAGGGCCCCTCGGGCCCGAGAGGCCCCCTGATCCGATGGGGGCACGTGCCCCCTGCCCCCCTCCGGGTGCAGATAGAGAATGCAATCGGCGGTGCGGGACACAACGATTGCAATCGTTCCTTCTCCCGTCGCGAGGTCGCCTGCATCCGACCCATATATCCCAAGATTGTCAACCCTGGGGCTCGGGTCGGCAATGTATCGGCAAGGAAATCAGCTTTAGGTGGGTAAAAAAGTTATTAAGAGTCATTAGTTGTGGTTACGTTCAGTAATAGCAACGATAAAGTGCCAAATGTACCCGACGTACGGCTTGGAGCCGGGCGCCGCGCGGTATCCACCAGTGACGTCACGCTAATGCTTAGCGACCGGTCCATTGGAAATTGCGGGATGATTCTACCTCTCTTATACGGCCTTGACTTCAATATACTAAATTACTTCACTTACCCAAACATAGCCCATTGAATGATTGCTCAAGATGTGAAGATGTCGAATAAACGCAATTGTAAGACGAATTAACAAATAGTGAATGAAAACGTGAGAAGCTTAATAAACCGATCTACAGCATGGCTCCATATTGTTCTCACAAATACAAACCGATTACCCAAACAATCCAACACAAACAAAGCCGCTATTCGGCGAGTGAGCGCCGGGGCCGGGAACACCACGTCCGTACGCTGGTGCCGGGGGGGGGGGGCGTACCACTTTGCCGGCGGGCGAGGCGGTTTGGTGTTCGCAGTCCTCCTGGGTGGCCGCCGCCTTGTCGCTGGTCGTCTGCTCCAAGGTCATGGTGATACGGTAGTTCATGCCGCTCACCACCTGCCGACAATTACGGAGGCCACGGGAGATGCGGAACGTCAGCCAGATGGTTAGGTAGTAATCAAATTACCAGTTTAATGGAACGTCTTCAGAATAAATCATCTCATTATTAACACAATCAAATTATCTGTGCTTAAGGAGAACCGTAATAGCTGTATCAAATATTACGGTTGCGATAAATCACATCTGTTTTCGATCTTTTCTCCTGACTTTGCAAGAATTTAGTTAGCATTGATTGGTAGGTGACGTACAGCCCACCGCTAAAGTAATGTAGGGTTTTACCAATCTGAACGATTGGCTTTGACTGGCGATTGTTTAATGCGGAGTGATCGAAAAGAAGATGTCAATAGCTAAAGTTGCAGCTGCAAGGGTGACGATACATATAAGCTACATTCAAAGTGTCATTGTAGTCTGGCTGATCGTTACTAAGCTTCAGAAGCAGAACATACCCATGACTGAAACCCTACATTACTTCTGCTGTGGACCGTACATCACGCAGAAAAGTGTCCCACTAACCAACCAACCCATGTAGCCGTCAGAGTCTAAATCATCACTCACCTGCGCCTCCACATCGTCGATGGAGCTCAGCTTGAAGAAGTTGCTGTGGTTGATCTCCCCCTGCACGTGAGGCACGGCAAAGAGCGCCATCGTCTTCACCTGTTCATCGTCCACGGGCTTCTTGGACCATCCTCCTGCCAGCTGAGCCATGGTGCACAACGCCTGATGGAGGAGGGGGTGGGCCGGTCAGAGGAGGGACAAGGGACGCCACGGGACGGGACGGAACGTTTAACGGCACGGCAGGGGAAGACCAGTGAGACAGCACGGCAAGGAAGGTTAAAGGCACGGCATCGGGCGGGGGCCGAACGGAACACGGCGTGGCGAGACTGGATCGGCACAGCACGGGAAAGGAAGGAAGAGGATGATTGGGGAACTACGGAAATTGCATCCGCGTGCCTAAACGCAGATCTTGAAGTCGAAAGAAATGGTGTAAAGGAAAAAACTGCTGAAAAGCAAAAGCATACGATGAATCAGCACCGGCTGCACCGGGTGATATTTCAGGTAGGAAAGATGTCAAAGTGTGTTTCTTGACGATGAAATGCCTTTTCACCAATTCCCCAATCCATCACGTCCGGTGTTAGGTCGCACCTATCACCCACGAAACCAGCTCGCGCCACGTGCACAAGTGACCGTTCCCCGGTGCACTGCGCAGTGCGGCCGCCATTGCAGCCACCCGGGCCTCCCAGTGACTCGTCGATGACTCATTGACGGCACGAGTGACTCGTCAGTCCCCGGGTGACCCGAGTCTGCGTCCTGCATCCCGTGATCGAGCCGCGACCGCTTCCTGTGCTCACCATACCGCAAACAGAGCTGCACACAATGGCTGGCGATCTGCCGAGAGCGAGCGGCAGTGTTTACGTAAAGAGCCCCGCAAACTACGGGTGTACTGTACTCGTATAATGTATGTATGGGCCGACCAGTGCCGTCGCAAGAATACCAACTAAATGTCCTCAGCCTGGTAAAATAATGTGACCTTTGAGAAGGCCACCTTGTATTTACACGCGTTTCCAGTTCAAGCAGGACCTCACAAAGCGCCAGTGAATAAGTAGTCCCAGGTGGCGCCACTGACGGTAACACCTTGCCAACTTTTTTACACTAGTGCCACGCCGCGTCCTTCTCACCGGCACTCGTCAGTCGTTGGCGTCTCTCCTTGGTCTCTCCGTTCGTCTCACCACCTGTTTGACCAGCTTCACCACCTGAAGTAATCTCGCTCCGTGACGGCTCAGAAGAGCCCACAGCGCCGGTAGCAATGGGTGGCCGTCTGGGACAGTGCTTGTTAATTTCGACTGTCCACACAACGTTTCATTGAATGTGCAGTATGTTTGGCAGCTCAAGAAATGGAAACTTCTTCTAATGCCGATGCAGGCAAATATAGCAGTGCATATAGTTAGAAACAGTTTTTACCCTGGCCGTGACAGAGTTTGCTCTCACCAACAACGAAACAAACTGAAACCGCTAGCCGCTAACAGCTAGCCCCACCCAAACAAAAACAAAAGGCGCAGCAGAAAAAAAAACAAAACATCATACCTGACTTCGCCTAACGCCACACTCTCCCCACAAGCTCACACCGTGTGACAGTCCGCTACTCACTCGTCTCAGTCGGTACAGGACTGCTCACTCCCCCGGCACCTCTCCACGCACTGACTGGCGCGCCGGCCGGCCGACTCCGCCCTCTGCCCGCCGACTCTCGTCACCCACCCACTCTGCCCACGCCGGCCGGCGCCGACGGAAGTGTACGGAGCGATAGCGATAGGACCACCCGGATAACAGGCGGGCGAGGCTGCCGAAAACGCCGGCTCAGGTGCCGCCGAGTGGCGCTCCTGCGCTATCAGTCACTAGGCATTGTAGCTACCTCGTAATTTACGTCCAAAAATGTGCGTATCTCTTGAGAAGGTCAAATTGTAAATCTTGCAAGAAAAGTGGAGTTCAGGTAATCAATCAATGAAAAAGAGCACCTAATATTGCGCCTGCCATGGTACGCTGTACATAGATTTGGAAGTGTAAGTGAACAGACTCGGTAATCGGGCCCATGACGAGATATTCCGCTAGCCAGTGACGCATACCGTATGTCACCAGCGACACCGATACGGCGGGTCGGGTTACCGTGCCAGCGTAGCTACTAACCAATGGCGCGGCTGAGCCACCATACAGCAGTACCTCAAGTCTCAACGTGCATTGCGGAAACTGGGGAGACAATTTGGGGGTTAAGGTAGGTACAGCCATACTTCTGTGAAGAACATGCTGATCCGGGAGCCCAGGTGACCGTGCATGCACTTATTGGTGATTTTACGAGCATAGCGAAGAAGCATAGCGGACAACGTAGCAACAGAGGATCAGACGCAACTGCCGGGGCGGCAAGAAGAAGCCGTTTACAACATGGACATGCTCAGCTGGGAGTCGTTCACTTTTAGTTGAACAAATGCGAGTGCAACAGGAAGAAGGAAACTTACCTGCAGGGTCACAACAAACACAACGGTCTTCATGATTTTGTTAGTTATTTCGGAGCACCTGCAAAGCAGAACACGCTGTGAACTGGTGACGTTTGACGCGTGAACCAGGAGAATCACATGCAGATCATGCATAATAACGTATGTGCAAACATGCCGTGAATAATACTTTTCTGAGTTGATGTTAGTCACAGGCGGGTGGGCCAAAACAACAGTGGGTGCGTTTCGTACTGCATGACACTCAAATGTGATGGGAGTGGTACGATGAACCTCAGGGAGATTATATGTAGCTTGACATACCCTGCCGCATGTCAAGTGCAAACATGCACACTTGATATACTGAAACCGATAAGAGCACAAGTGCCATCGATGTGTGCAAGAGTTCCGAAGAAAAAAAATGCATAACGAGCAAAAATAACGGTAAAATATGAATCAAAGCAATGTCACATATCCCTCTATCATACTATAACAATAACTCGGGTAAATGCATTTATTTACTAAAAAAAAGCATTTACAAAACGGTACCGTTTCAAACCTGGCTAATGCAGCAAACAAACGCGTATCAGAGCTGCAAAGGTCAAGTGTTCCAGAACAGCAGTTGTTCAATGTTCTTCGGCCTAAAATGAGTGCTATAGCCTATAAAAAGCGACATTTTAGCTCAAGTATAATCGAGCATTCACAATCATGTCAAGTAACTAACATCGATTACCAAGAAAGACTGGTAGCTGAGCGGGCCACGATGCGGTAACGTATCCGCTATATTCGCTTCAACGTGAGCTAATTCATATGTTCGCATACGTTCCTCTTCCTACACTGTCACATTATCACCCACAACAACTAGATTCGACTAGATATTTACGTTACCATTGAATCACACTAACAATATCAATCGGACACATTTTCAAAATCCCACTCAGAACATCGCCCCCTTGTCCTCCTCATAGAGGAAGTAAATGGGCACCACTCCGGCCTTGGTGTGCACCAGCTCCGTGTGCCGGATCAGGAAGCACGCCGCCAGCCCGTAGGCCGCGCACGGGATGCCCAGGTTGATCCACTTGAGCGCGCGGAACAGACCGTCCTCCAGCCGGAGGTCCTGGCGCGGCCGCCTGGAGCAGTGGTACTTCATGTACGGGTAGCAGCCGGTCCGCAAGATGTGGTAGTTGACGCCGCCCGCGCTCCAGTTGAAGTGCGACAGACCGCGCTGGTCGCTGGCCACGTCACTGTATTTGACAAAGTATGACGTCCACTCAGGTGTACCCCGTTGCAGAAGATGCGCTGTGAGCACTTCGGAGGCCAGCGGCTTCAACCGGAGACCGAGTTTTCTTCTGATAAACTGAACGAGCGCGAACATTGAGGAATCGTGACAAAAGATCGGTTTTGATAATTTAATTCCCTAAATTTGGCTGAATACGTCTTCCAAACATGCACGCGCAATGTTCAGCTTCAGGTTTCGATATTCAACAGTGCAGCGGGTACAATTCATACTCTGCGGCAGAGAAACAATAATTTTTATCAATTTATAACAATGAGCCCACAGCACACTGATCCTCAACCTACCTCACGGCAATGAGCTGACACGTATCGCTTAGAGTAACGACAGAAACTGGCGAGGGTGGCGTCTGTGCCTGCCCACAATAACTCTGCCCCGATATTTCCCGAATTTTCACAGGCTCACTTCATATGACACCGGCCTGATACCTTTGAGAACGGGCAGCTGTGACAGATTCAGCTGCCTCGACACTAATTTCGCAAGGTCTCAGACGTATATGGGACAAGACCATTCGCGAATCCATGACTCAATGCACGACCAACGCAGCAAAGAAACACGCGTGCGGTTGCGTGCGGCGTAATGTAAATGTTAAGTGGCATGCTATAACAAAGTAGAATTACAATAAAGAACCCTCGGCTTGCCTTCATATGCAGACGTTTGATGAGCAATGTTCGTGTAAGCGTGCTCCGTTTCCGTTTCCTAGATGTCCCTGTAACGCCCAAGTAACGCCAATGACGAAATTGAGTGTAGGCATCAAATTGAAAGCCGTCACGCATTTATCTGTCACATTGAAGCTGCAAGGGCTTAGCAGAAGCTGGTTTGGTGGTAAAACTGCACAGAGCCAATTATTATTTTCAAGTTTTTTGTTTTGTTTTGTTTGCTGGACTGCTGTGGTAGGTAATGCTAGCAAAGAGGAACCTGTTTTTCCTTCTGGAACCTGGAAGTTGGAACCTGTACAAAGAAGGTGTTAACTCACAATTGTTCTGAACCTTTGCACTAAAATGAATTTTGATCAAGTGTGGTGGTATGATGGTAAACTTTTGAACAAGACGAACAGTGCCAAAAGTAATTGGTGGTGTTCCTTGGTTATCGAAGCAGATCACACCATCATATTACAAATGTTCCCTGGGACAGCTAACAGAGGTTCTGCAGACTACAGAGCATTTCAAGGACCATCAAATCCCTCTGATACAGTGTCCAGTTAACTTCTTGTATGGCATTTCTTCATTGAAAATCTTCTTCCATGCTTAGGCTGATGAAGAAATGTGATAGGTACAAAGTTTAGGATAGGTTAGGTGAGGTCAGGCTAGGCCAGATTAGGTTGACAAAATGTGACAGGGAAAAATGCATGAACAGAATATTTTTGGAAAAAGCAATGCTGTTGGCATAATAGAAATGCTACAATTTGTCCCAGAATCTCATGAGCATACAAAACATGATCATTCATCATCCTTGAACTCTATATATTTTCTTAAGAGTGTGTAGCCCCTGCATGTACCGCCGGTCACCGCTAAGCGCGTTTACTTCCGCCGGTCACCGCTAGATGCTGTGAACCGCTAGTTACAGTTTTGTTAATAGGTGTCGCTTTTACCAGTCTCTAAATTGCTAAAGCCTTTGATTAAGTTGTGCGCCCCCCTTTTTAACGTTCCGTTCGCTTAAACTGCTGTATTGTTTGGACAATTGTATTGGCAATGTGTATATTGAAAACCATATGTATTCGTTTATTACATTCGATGTTCTCGCCACATGTGTGCAATACTAGATAACTAAGTTCGTATGTAAAACTATATATGTCTCGATTTTGTGGCGAAATACAAGAGATATCTGTATCTTACAGTGTTTCTACTGGCTACACCAGCCAGATTGGTGACCCCGCGTTCTACGCACTAAAGGATCGCTATCCCCTCGTGTTCCCAGACACACCGACACTGGCCTGCACCCTGAGCTATCTCCTCCAGCTCTCTTTGTGTAGGAAGGAAGTGGCGGATGGTGTGTCTCCACGAGGATCCTACTTTTGTGCTGTGTGGAACTGGATAACGCCGACTACTACAGCTGCACTACGGACCAGCTACTTCATCGGCTCATCTTACCGAACGGCTACCTCTGCAGCTGCACCGCAGCACCTGCCGATCGCCGTGTCGCCGTCGCCGCCACCGATCTTCCCGACCATTGCTCTCGGCAGCCATGGACCAGAAGACCCAGCCTGCCGGCGCCGGTGCAGCCGCCGGAGCCGGTGCAGCCGCCGGCGCCGGTGCAGCCGCCGCCGCCGCCTCGCATGCCGCTGCTGCTGCTGCTGCCGCTGCCGCCCAACCGGACTACCTCCGCGTGGCGACCGCGCCACGCAGCCACGTCGCGCCGCCGCGCTTCTTCGAGGAGGACCCCGTGATCTGGCTCGTCCAGCTCGACCTCTTCTTCTCTCAGGCAGCTGTGGACGATGAGCTCAGCCGCTTCCGGATCGCCGCTACTCTCCTTCCTGGCCACCTCCTGCGCGACTTCACCGACATCCTCCGCAACCCTCCTCAAGACCGACCTTACACCATCCTTTCCAACGCCATCCGTCAGCGGTTCGGCAAATCAGTCGAACAGCGTCTTCGCTGCCTGCTCTCTGGCCAACAACTCGGCGACAGGCGTCCTTCCCAATTCCTTCGGCATCTCCTGGACCTTGCTGAAGCTGAAGGCTCACAAGATTCCCCGCTCATCCGCCAGATCTTCCTCAATGCACTTCCGCCTCGGACTCAGCCCTTCCTCCAGTGCCTGCCGCCTGGGACGGACCTTGCGACCATCGCTAGCACTGCCGACCGACTCCTGGAGCTTCCGCAGCAGTCGGACGTCGCTGCACCTACCTCAGGCCTTCTCGCCGCGGTATCGACTTCTGCGCCTGCTGCAGCCTCACCTGCTGCTCCTGCAGGACCCTTCCACCTCCAAGACCTGATGAGCCAGCTGCTGACTGGTATCACGGCCCTCACAACATCAGTCGCCACACTGGTGGACGAGACGCGCCGCCGAGAGAGGTCTGCATCCCGTGCCCCCGGCCGCGCTCGCCACCGTCCACCACGCGACCTGTCTGCTGCTGCTGCCCGGTCACCCAGCCCTGCAACCAACACGTCTACCGGCGATGGTGCTTCCTTCTGCTGGTACCACCACAAGTTCGGTACCAACGCGCGCTCATGTCAGTCACCGTGCTCGTGGTCTGCAACCGCAACTCAGACCTCGGGAAACCAGCAGTAGGACAGGTGACACAGACGTCTGCACCTGCCCTGCTCAACCCTGACGTCCCTCCAGCCAGCGGCCTTCTGAGACTCAAGGACAACAACACTGGCATCACCTTCCTCATCGACACTGGAGCCGAGTACAGTGTTCTTCCAGCAACACCCACCGATCGTGCTCGCGGAACCAACGGACTGGATCTGCAAGCAGCCAACAACAGCAGCATCCAGACCTATGGTCAGCGCATGCTCACGCTTTCTCTCGGCCTCAGAAGAGATTTCAACTGGATCTTCATCATCGCGGACGTCTCCCATCCTCTCCTAGGAGCCGACTTCCTCTCCTCGTATGATCTCCTCGTCGACACCAAGAGAGGCCGTCTCATCGACCACCTAACTGAGTTGTCTTCACCTGCTTCCCACTCCTCAGTCTACCAATCTGGCTGGTGTAGCCAGTAGAAACACTGTAACATACAGATATCTCTTGTATTTCGCCACAAAATCGAGACTACCGGCCCTCCGGTCTTCTGCCGCCCACGCCGTCTGGATCCAGCTCGACTCGCCACTGCCAAGGCAGAGTTCCAGCGCCTTCTCAGTCTCGGAGTCATCCGACCCAGCAGCAGTCGGTATGCATCACCGCTGCACATGGTGCCCAAGTCGTCTGGAGATTGGAGACCCTGTGGTGATTACCGTGCACTGAACCGCATCACAGTGCCTGACCGGTACCCGCTACCACATCTCCACGACTTCACTGCCTGCCTCGCTGGGACATCGATCTACTCTCGGCTCGACCTCGTCAGGGCCTTCAACCAGATACCGATGGCCCCAGAAGACATCGCCAAGACAGCGATCACAACGCCCTTCGGCGCCTTCGAGTTCCTCCGTATGCCGTACGGTCTCCGGAACTGCGCTCAGACCTTCCAAAGGTTCATGGATCACATCGAGTTCGAGTTCCTCCGTATGCCGTACGGTCTCCGGAACTGCGCTCAGACCTTCCAAAGGTTCATGGATCACATCCTCCGTGGCCTAGACTTCGCCTTCGTCTATGTGGACGACATCCTCATCGCCAGCAGCAGCATCTCGGAACACCTGTCACACCTCCGAGAGGTCTTCAGCCGTCTTTCCCGCAACGGTGTGCTCCTCAACCCATCGAAGTGCGCCTTCGGCATGGAAAGCATCTCCTACCTCGGCCACCAGATCTCCAGCGGAGGCATCACTCCTCTCGACGATCGAGTCAGTGCGATCAAGAACTTCGACCGTCCAGAGTCAAAGAAGAGCCTCAAGAAGTTCCTGGGGATGATCAACTTCTATCACCGCTTCATCCCACACGCTGCTGCTCTTCTGGCACCTCTCCACGGCCTGACTGCCTCAGACGACCGAGCTGCTTCAGTCACGTGGACCCCAGAGGCAGACGCCGCCTTCTCTGCAGCCAAAGCTGCCCTCGCTGACGTCACCCAGCTCGCTCATCCCGTCAAAGATGCAGCTCTGAGCCTCAGCACTGACGCCAGCAGCACGGCAGCCGGCGCCGTGCTCCACCAGCGAGTTGGTGGTTCTCTTCAGCCTCTCGCCTTCTTCTCGCGCAAGTTCACGCCCACCCAACGCCGCTACAGCACCTTTGGACGGGAACTGCTCGCCATGTACCTCGCCGTGCGACATTTCCTGCCCTATCTGGAAGGACGCGACTTCGAGATCCTCACGGACCACAAGCCGCTCGTCTTTGCTCTCAAGGCCAACGGCAACGCCAACCATTCTCTCCGTGAACAACGTCACATGGACCTGATTCTGCAGCACACCAGCAAGATCGGACATGTTCCTGGACACCTCAACCCGGTAGCTGACGCCATCTCACGGATCAGCTCAGTGTCTGCGCCGGCTTCTGCCGCAGCTACACCCTCACCCGGCCTTCTGAGCCTGGCCGACATCGCCCTACACCAAGCCAACGATCCTGACCTGCCGAAGCTGCAACAATCCTCATCTCTGATCATCCGTGACTTCCCAGTCCCTGATCATCCG